CCCCACCCCCCCCCCCCCCCGGCTGAGGCGGGAAGCTGGGACTCCAGAGGAGCCACGGGATGGACTCTTGCATCTCCCCAATGGTGAGGTAAGGGCTGATGGTCTGACGCCGAGAACCGCTGATTCAGGGGAGGCTAGGAAACAGCCTGGGGCAGGGCCGTACCAGTGCCTGTGGGCTGACGTGTTACGGGGTGGGACACCGTCAGCCGGGTAAGGGTTGAGACCCAAATCCTTAGGGCCCTGGGCTGGGATCCGGTGGAGAGGGAGGGCCCGGGTCCCCCTAGCCACCCCCTTTATCCCTCCATGTAGCACACAATGTTGGAAAGGAGCGAACGGGTGCAAGGTGGTCGGGACCACCACCACGAGAACTGTGGTGACCTACCAAGGTGCCCCGAGAGGGGGAATCAGGGACGCAGGGCTCGCTGGGCCCCGATACCCCTCCCGCGGGTGGCACGGGAGCTCGCGCCCATTTAACCGGTGACTTTATGGCAGTGGTCTCCAACCTTTTTACATCCAAGATCACTTTTTAAATGACAGACCAAGCTAAGATCTACTGCCCCGCCCCTTCCTTGAAGCCCCACCCCTTCCTTGAAGCCCCGCCCTCTCTATTCTCCTCCTCTCCATCACTTGCTATCCCCAATCCTTATACTGCTGCTTTTTTAAAAAGGTTTTTCCAACATTTGGAAGAGGTTTTTCAACATTTGAAAGTGGTGCTCAGCCAGGGTGCACCACACTTCACATGGGCTGTTGCTGAGGGGAAGCTGCCTGGCCAGCTTGCTGTGTTCTTCAGCCTGGAGGAGGCTGAACTGCACTCCAGCTGATCGGGTGGCTTCCCCTCTGTGCCTGCTCACATGGAGCTTGGTGCACGCTGGCTGAGCGCCATGGTCAGCTGGCCGGGAAACCGCTTCTCTTCACTCCTGCCCAGCTGCCCTACGCTCAGCCCGGGAAGCTTGCTCCAGCACACCGGGCGGGAGCAAAGAGAAGTGGCTGCTCGGCCAGCTGGCCATGGTGCTCAGTCAGTGTGCACCAAGCTCCACGCGGGCAGGCGCAGAGGAGAAGCCACAGATCAGCTGGAGCGCGGGGCAGCCTCTTTCAGCTGAAAGCCCCAGTCAGCTGGCTGGGGTGTTTCAGCGCTCCCAACCTCCCAGCTCCCACCATTCCTTGCAGCTACTCACCTGTGTTGTTGCTCGGTGAGTAGCTGCTCCTCAAATGAGGAAATCTAATGTAAATGTACTGCGCAGGCGCGCTGTTCAGAGAGGGCTCAAGAGCTACTCTTAGAGCCCCTGAGATCTACCGGTAGATCGCGATCTACTGGTTGGTGACCACGGCTTTATGGCATTCAGACAGAGGGCTCTCTGGGCCGTAACCCCAGATCGGGGGTTGCACGCTTGCACCCAGAACTAGATCCGTCACAATCTCTAATAAGGATTAGGATTATATTTGTAAAGAAAATATTCCATTCAGTAAGTGGCTTGATGGAATGATATAAGTCTAGGTCAAATATAGCTTTTCTTCATCATCTTTACAAGAGTATTTCTGTGTGTGGAATTATTGTGGGAGGCAACTTCCTTTATATGTTCCAACATATACTGATGGATGTAATCGTTCCTATAAGGTGGAGATTGATGACAGACTGTGTGTGACCAAGAGGCTGCACTAACAGTTCTCAAGTCAATTGAACTGAAAAATAACCCCCATGAATCAGTTTCAAGATGACAATTATAATAATCTGTGACATACATACAGAATGTTCATTGATTAAACCCAATAATTCAAACAAATGATGGTACCCATCTGGACCTCACACTATTTTTTTTTAAATACACCCTTTACACTCAATTTATAATCTATAAATTCAGTTGAGAATTTTTGATGATGTTTACTCAATTCTGTGCGGCACTTAGCTTCCAAGGTTATTATGGCTGGATCCAAAACCCATAGAAATCTATCACAGTCTTTTCAAATGCTCCAGTTGGTTTTGGTTCAGACTATGGCTACCTAGGAAATATGTTAGATACGTTTCCAAAATTAAATGATTGAGGTTCAGATTTTCCAAACAGCCATCAATGGCAAGTAAGAGAAAATGTGATGCCTAACTCCTTTGGTCACTTTGGAACTCACAGTCTTAAACTGTTCATTCTTTAATTCCAATTAGACACAAAAATAATCATAGCACTAACACACAATCAACTCATCAGTATTTGTGCAAGAGAGCGTCTATACTGGCATGTACCTTTGTGCAAAAGATTTGCTTTTGCGCAAAAGCATCCATGCCAGTGTAGACACTCTCTTGTGCAAGAAAGCTCCAATGGCCATTTTAGCCATCAGGCTTTCTTTCGCAAGAAATTAACGTGGCTGTCTACACTGGCCCTCTTGTGCAAGAATACTTGCACAAGAGGGTTTATCCCTGAGCGGAAGCGTCAGAGTATTTGTGCAAGAACCACTGATTTTGAATGTTACAAAGTCAGTGTTCTTGTGCTAATACCCATGGCCAGTGTATACAGGCGGCAAGATTTTGCGCAAAAGCAACAAAGCAAGCCAGTCTAGATGCACCCCAACAGTAATAGAGATCTGCAATGACCTCCTATGACCAAGATTTCATTACATATTTTACACAAGGTGTTCTAGAACATTTGCTGACATCTCATTATGAATTATAATGTATAATTAAAGCTAAACCTATCAAAGAGCTACTTATCAGCACTCCTTACACATAGCTTCAGAGATCATCACTGAGAGTTTGCCTGAATAAAAGCCCAGTTTTGCAGTCCTTGTACACCCAGAACTCCCATTGACTTTACTGGGATTCTTGGTTGTGTAAGTAGTTGGGATCCATCCATGAGCGCTCAATTGGATCGGCAGTCTTGTTCCTGTTCCCAATTAAACAAATGGTAAAAGCTTCCATTGACTTCAGTGGGGCTGGATGAAACACTATATGAACAAAGTACCTTTGAAATGTGCTGTCCTTGCTTTTTAAAATTTATGATGTTCATTTATTTGCAAATTCATAACATTCAGTATTAGCTGATTCTCCCAGTCATTAGTACAAATTTATCATTGTCTCTTGTAAATGATCATTCATTGCATAAAGTTAGCTACATTAAAGAGACTTATTGTACCAAATTCTGTTCTCAGATATACTACTGCAAATTTAGATTATTTGCATTGAAATGTTTGGATTTATACTTATATAACTAGTAGCTGAATTTGTCCAAATGCCTTTTGTTTAGTTAAAATTCCATATCACAACATTCTTTGGAATAAAGTAGGAATTGTCTACTTACGGCATAGATAGGAAACAATTCTGGTGCATTCAGGTCCCATTCGTTGATATGAGATCCTATCTGCACCCCAGGAAAGCCAAGCTCATTCACACAGCGATACATTTCCTTCACAGCCAGGTCTGGTGCTTGCATGGGTAATGTGCCAAGGCCGACAAATCTCTTGGGGTACTTTTTTACCATAGTAGCTAAGTCATTATTTAATAATTGGCACAGATCTAACGTATCCTGAGGTTTGGCCTGGTATAATATTAAAAAGAGTAAATTAAAATGTAGTTCCCAAATTGTATCACCATGAAAGACATTTGAAGAAACCCAACAGATTGCATGTAAATTATCACCAAGAAAAAATGTCACAACAAATAGTACAAGCAGAAGACTTGAAGCAAGTTTCTTGTGCCACCACTAGCCATTCTGAATAGGTGTAAGGCCTTAAGGCCAAATTCTGCTTCAAATCCTAGGGAAAAGATTGATGAGTTGGGTCTGCTTAATCTTGTATGCTCAGTCTCATGCATCTGTTGCTTCCTATCTCTCTAGGGCATATCAGGCGAGGGAGAATCTGGCCCCGTTTGCTGAAATTTTCTCAGAATTTTTTAGAGAATCTCTTAGAACACTCCTG